CACCATTTGTCGCATATTGTTGCTGCCATAGATTCGTCTTGCGAGCGCGAGGATTGTGGATGTTTTACCGGTACCCGGAGGGCCATATAGCAGAAGATGGGGTAATCGCTGAAATCAGATCAGTATGGATACATCTCGATGATGCCTTTGACGCATACATTTGCTTCGATGAATTTGTTAATGGTAGCGAGGATGTCTTGATGACCAGACACATCGTCTAGGGTATTAGGCCGATACTTCTCCACCCTGCGGGCTCAATTAGCAATATACTCAGAAATATGTACGTCAAGTACTGACCATGGTAGGTTATCTTGAGCTTCAACTGGCAAATCTGCAGCTGGTCGCTTAGCTCTCTTGCTGGCGTTGTCGGAGCTGAATTGAATCGCGCTCTTGGGCGCCGGGACATCGACGTCCATCTCATCCTCGTAATCGGACATTTTGAGAAGTCAACCTTAATCAGCAAGGTCGGCGGGTTCAACAGGAACAAAAAGCTAGAACAATGCTTTCTAACGTTCTGTGAATGGTACTCTTTAAAAATGAAGCTTGACGCGTCGAAACTCCGCCAGCGCGTAAAGAGATTCGGAGCCGGAAAATCATGGGGGAGGCAGCAAAGGTATGGTTTGCCTTAGTTGGGTTTAGGCGCATCTGGTGATGACATGAATGGGCACCTCCCGCTGTCTGGCAGCACCACCGCCTTATGAGTTACGACAACTATCCCGCTTCATTTATTGCTCGAAGGATCCTCATTACACAGGTTCTAAGAGGGTGGATTATATTTACCGCTATTAGGACAGAATGCCGGTATGAACATTTCAATTGAACACTCTGGCATGTCATTCCATGTTCTCTCCTGACGCTGATTAGGCCTACCATTCCATCTTCCTTGAGGACCGGGATGTTCCCGTAATAGGTACGAACGCATGTGCTTCTTCGCCAACCTCTCCTTCAAGCAACTCATGAACCTTCCGCCATACTGCAGCGGACACATCGCTAACATCAGCTCTCGCCGTCTACCCTCAGGCAATTTCCCTGTCCTCCCCCTCCGCACCCGTACTCGCGGCCCCGCATACACCCTCCCCCCGCTGCCCGCCGATGTCTCCGATATGGATGTGCCTCCCGACAGCGAGTCGTACGACTGCGTAGACGAAATCCTGTCTCTTTTCCGCGCCAATGTGCTCTTCCGGAACTTTGAGATCAACGGACCTGCAGACCGCATGCTCATCTACGGAACGTTGTTCATCAGTGAATGCCTGGGGAAGGTCAAACCGGGCATGACCTCCCGCGAGGCTGAGAAGGTACTATTGCGACAGGAATTGCGTCAGGGGGTCTGCTAATGGGCATATATCAGGCTTTGATTAATGTTTCGCTCGATCATTTCGCTATCCCTGGTGATGTGGCCTTCCCTTTGAACCAGGCGTTCGAGCCTCCCCGAGACCGCCAGGATGCAGAGACACTGAGACAGTATGTTTCAATTTCTTTTACAAGCTTGAGAGCGCTGAAATTAATGCGATTTGATTCAGATACCTCTCCCAAGTACGACAGGAGATCGCTATTCGACTACATGCTCGGTTATACGCTGGCGGTGAAGGGCCTTCAAAGGTAGACTGGTATTGCCCCTTAATTGAAGAGACTCGGTTTACTGACTTTTTAACTCTCAGTGGTGGCTGAGCTTTGCGAAGAGGAAGTTTATGGGAAAGAGCCTCTAGATTGTTGAGACATGGACATGTTTTTTTGCTTTATGACCAGCTCCTGTAACAGCAGCGTTCTGAGATATTTCCTGGTTCCCTCGACCGAAGGGCTGCAATTATTATTTCACTGTGACATATTCTAGCACGATCGGTCTCTGCCGCGCGCTTTTAAAGGTTGACCCAATTGGCGTGCCACTCAGCACGTAGGTCTCGGATATTCCATCTCCCTCGAAGGAGGCGGAAAGTCTAATCGCATACAATATGAAAGATTATATGTGATGCATTCGTTGCACTTGGTGCGAACGCGTATGACTCTGTTACAAGGACTGTAACTTCACTCCCGGATTCGCGGCTCTATATTATGGTATATATCATGACTGCATTTCAACGTCCACACCGCTCCCACTCTCCGCTGGTGTTGCGGATTCTTGTTGGGCAGCCACCTTCCTCTTCTTCCGACTTGGATTACCCGCAGCCTGGATGTTCTGATGGGACGGAAACACGCGAATAGCATGGAAAATATAACCTTCAGCGCCACCACGCCCCGACATCAGCGGGTGTGTACGCCCAGGAAGTACTTGCCATGCGCGTACCCGGGAGGTCTCGATCGTGGGCGCCAGCAAGAGGGAGGGGTCGAGAGCGAAATCCTTATCTAATTCTGAGAAGTCCGGTTCCTGGGGTTTCTTCTCGCTGTCCTGGCTCTGCCTCTGCAGAGACTGTTGTAGGCTGTGCTGTGCGATAATCTCTCGTTTTCGAGTGATGTAAGCCGTCCTCCTGGGAGTCGAATATAGATCGGCCAGCTCGGTCAGAGGCTCGATGGTGGGAGAATAGACTACTACCGGAGCGGAACCCGCCAATAGTGGGACGGTGTGTTTGAGTACACTTGCCGGCTCCATTAGCGTTGCGACAATGAGGCCGTCAAAGTTACCGGCTCGAGCCTCGTCGACAACCCGCCGTACCCGCTCCCAGCGACTGCGCTTTTTGTAATATGCGCTGCGTCTGTTAGACTTGAAAGTGGCAAGGGTCTCGTCAGGAATCACTTCTGGTTCATTGGCGTAGATAGTGTCTGCATGCGGATCCAAAAGTTGCATCCATGAAACGGTCTTCATATGCTTGTAAAGGGGATGCGACTCGTCGGGATTGTCTTGATCGTAGCCAAAGTATCTCAGTAATGATAAGCTAGGCTGCTTGTTCGCATGGATGACAGTGATTGAATTGCCTGATGCAGCCATATGACGGCGGCGGGCCAATGCCTGGGCCATGGCGTTCGTCTGTTGTCGCTCGCCATTTTCTTCAGACCCCTCGGCGAGTTCTTGGTCTTCGTCCTCCTGATCGTGAGGGTACAGTATGCCCATTCTTTCGGCCATGGCGGCAACTACCAAGCCACCTGTTTCGTCAATGACCAGGTAACGACCGTTAGGTTTTGACGCAACAACCCCTTCGAACGACGATTGTCCTCCGTGGTGCACATTACCCCAGCACCCAATTAGACCTATTGACTCATCGCGGAGCTCCATTGTTTTCATCGCCTCTTTCCCTTCCAACATATAGTTAGTCAGAAGACTAACATCCACGGGAAGGACTGTGAATCGCTTCAGGAACTTCTTCCGTTTCCGTAATGTGTATTTCGCGAGGGAAAATGCAGTCTTCTGATCTAATGCGGAATGCGACTCCAACAGCTTCTCAATGATCTCTCTCCCTGCGCCGGTAGATACTTTCTTCAGAGCCTCGATCTCTTCTGCGGTCATTTTCTGGGTTGACGCATCGTCGACGATCTCGCGATTGGTCCGTATCGGGATTCCTTCCTCGTTCACCTCCACGTCGTCGCCCTCGCCTTCTCCATCGGCGATGAGAGTCTCGGCGTGCAGTTCAGCTGGAGAGACGATGCGAAGGCAATTGTCATTGTTCTCGCCCGAAACGTCAATGATCTCAAAGGTCAGGTAGAAAGGACGGCCTATAATCGTGTTGGCGGGGAAGCTCCCGTATTTTCCCAGGAATACTACACTGAGCCAAAAGTCAGTATAAAGTTATCTAAAGTAATTCCGGACACTAACGTACGTATTCGGCACCAGTCTGACAATTTTTGTAAGCTCAGACGGAAGTCGCAGAGCGACATGCTGGTAAGGACGAATGTAGGAATGCATGGTCGGAAACTGAATTCACAAAGAGCAATTCAAGCTTCGGCAGTCACACATGCCTCGCGATAGACGTACCGCTACAGTGGAGTGCGGACTTGAAAATGTTGCACAACAATTTCTGCCGTATCACGGTATCACTGATAACCAAAAATTGCCCTCTCTTTTTTCTTTTTGCATGATGCAAACGCACGGGCCACATCAGGATGCAATCTTGATAACAGATTACATAAGCTGGCCGTCATTGTAGATCTCGGAAAAAAGATCTTACGATCAAGCGACAGTACGTAGCAGCATATGCGATGTGGCTGAGGCATGTATTTACCATACAATACCGACTAAACGCCACTTCAGAGCATGCTCCAGGCAACAAAATTGGATCCTTGTAACGATTGGGTGTACGATCTGTCATCTCCACAGCGCCAACCCCGGAGTGTCTGGTAACCTAGGTAGAGATAGCTTATGGAAATCTGGATGCCTGCTCCAAACATGTAGTATATGGATTTGTTCGATTTCCTCCCTTGGCCTTTCGGAATCAATTCTGACTCCTGATTCCGGCGAGCTCACTGTCATTTGTAATAATCAATGGGAACAGGCCGGCATGGCGTTGATATCACACCCATCCTAGTCCGTGGCTGAGCACTGTTGCCCGCTTCTGAGCCACCGGTTACGTATACATCCTCACCTGTCCTGAACAATAGCATCAAGCCACCAGCGACTCTGCCACGGTTCTATATGCATCCAAAGAGATTTTCGAGGTTAGCAGAGTTTACCCATCATCTAGCTCCTTCCACTTTAAAGCCATTTTAGGTATCTGATCATCCTATGTCCTTTGTCCAAACAAGGCGAACCGCCGCACCACTGGCGGGCCTCAAGAGCTTGTCTTCATCAGGTTGACGCCTAGAGGCTAATAATGCGGCTATAGAAGAAATCCGCCTCCATGGTCCTTCGAAAACGTGCACCGCCGCATCTGTATAGTCTCAATCTAGGAAATGCTCGATCTGAACCTCGCTCTCCAATCTCACCAACCTCTCCAACTGCGAAATCAGCTACCTCACCTTCCCCCAAGCGCCTAACTCGTCCCAGAAGGGCAAAAAGCTCTCCCTATCCCTATCAAATACCTTCGGAGGATTCTATTTATTCGCCAGATCTCAACACCTCGCCAGCATTCGACTTGATGCCGTTGGAACAGGCTCAGAAGTCCCCTGTGGGGACTCTGTCCAGTGATACCGCCAACCCGTGGGCGGATGATGTAGTGGAAAGGCCCGACAGGAGCCATTCTGTCTCTGAACATCCTCCAGTCCATGCTAGGGAACTATTGCAGGGGTCGCCACTAGATAGTAGAAGAGGCGATCGCGTACCTTCGATCGTCGTTGCAGGCACTCAGAGAAGGATGGCTGCGAACGAATGGCAAGAGGCAAACAACAGTGCGGATTGGGAGCCACCTATCCAACTCCAATCCAACAACCCTTTTTTGAAAGCGAAACAATCCGATGAGAATCCTTGGGGTCCGAATAACCTACGAGCATCACAAGGAGATAATTCAAGTGATCGATTGAGTCAGAGTACGTTGTTACCGGCCATACTCTCTTTGGTGTCACTGCTTATACAATTATAGGCGAAGGTTATATTCCAATGACTGCGCGGTTGTCGCTTCTAGACCAGTCGGGATCGGAGTCTCCATGGGCTGAAGAACGCCCAGAGGCAGCTACACCGTCTCCCGCTTGGCAAAACAGTCGAACTGACTCTCAAAATATGTCATCCATGCCTCATGCGGTCCGCGAAAATGGCTCGACATCTCCTTTCCAGACATCATCCATAGGCAATGAGCCTGGGTACTCTTCGCAATATCTGCAGCAAACAGATCATGGGTCGCTTGCTCCAGGGAGCGGCATAGAAACTCCTTACGCGACTGATTCTACCATGACGACTCCATCATCACATGAACTTATCGAAGTCGATGAGCCCTCTCACGCCAGCGCTGAGCCCACTTCACAGCTTCTATCACAGAACACCTCAGCTGCACCTGCGCCACCATTGCCGCAGCGCCCGAACGCAGATGCAAATCAGGCCCCACCACTACCATTGAGAAACGCTGCATTGTCCGAATTAGATGAACAGCAGCAGAACGAGAAGAGATCCGAGACGTATTCGATCCGACATGTCAACTGGACAGACCCCACCGGGAAATTGCGAGAGTCTCCGGTCCTTGTCCAAAACAAAAACGGGCCATGTCCGCTACTAGCCCTTGTCAACACGCTAGTACTGCGTGCGGATCAGGACACACAGCCACCAATTGTTAGAGCGCTGCGGACCAAAGAGCAGATCTCTCTCGGTCTGTTGATTGAGGCGTTGTTTGACGAATTGACGACCCGCTTGGGGACTGATGGTGAACTTCCGGATATCGAGGCGCTCAGTCGCTTCCTGACGATGCTGCACACGGGAATGAACGTCAACCCTCGACTTACTCTGGTACGAAAATCATTGTGTGCAAGGTTCACGAGAAATCAGTACTGACAGTGACGCAGGAATCGGATGACGCCCCAGGCACCTTCCAAAATACAGACGACATCCGGCTCTACGGGACTTTTGGCGTTCCTCTCGTGCACGGTTGGGTCGCATCACCTGCAAGCGAAGCCGATGGCGCACTGAAAAGGGTGGCACAATACTATGAAGATGTCCAATTACTGCCCTTCCGCAAACAGGAACTTGAAGATCGTGTCTTCCGAGGGGATACACTAACTTGGGACGAGGAACAAGCCATGAAAGATATTCACGCAATCGAGAGATTTACTGAAATTGAGAACGCGACTCAGTTGAGTCCATTTGGGTTGGACCACCTGACCGAGAAAATGCGTCCTGGAACTTTCTCAATCTTGTTCCGCAACGATCATTTCTCGACTGTCTATAAACATCCTCAGCGGCATCAGCTGTTTACCCTGGTCACCGATGCCGGCTATTCCAATCACGCGGAAATTGTCTGGGAGTGTCTCGTTGATGTGAATGGATTCAACGCAGAGTTCTTTTCGGGCGATTTTCGCCCCGTTGGTCATGCTCCTTCCGGGACGGACCCATCCGGGCCACGAAACTCCAGCAACAGAACAAACGTTCCTCCCGTCGCAAGTGAAGATAGAACAAGTGCATTGTCTCCTCAAGAGCAAGCCGATGCTGACTACGCCTACGCACTTTCTCTTCAATACCAGGAAGAAGAACGCCGGGAAAGAGAGAGCAATAACCAGTCACGCGGTCAACGAGCTTCGGCCCCAAACCATCCCTCAGGAGCTTCTTGGGGTTCAGGCTCGGCTCATCAACGTTCGGCGAGTGTAGCAAACGGTAGCGGTAGTGGACGCACGTCGGAAGGCCGCTCGTCAAGGCACGGTCAAGGCCCTGGCGCCAGTAATAACGCTGAAGATCTCCCTCCGCCATCCTACGAACAAGCGGCTACCAGTCCAGCACACTCACCACGAGACAATTATTACAATGCTTTACCTCAGCAAGCTCGATATCAAAGACACTCGTTGGGACGGCGAGTAGCCCCAGGTACTGTCGCAGCAGGCCCAGGAGATCGGGTCAAGGATCGAAACAAAGACTGTGTGGTCATGTAGTGCCCACGCTATATCATCTTAAAAATGATCTCGAGGGCACATAGCAAGACAAGCCATGGTATGGTGCATACCACGAACCCTATCAATTTTCGGCAACGCTTTTTACTGCTTTTGACGACGCAACGACATGATGCTATGTACTTTATATAGATACCACGGGACAGGCATGTCTGAACATTCACTGAGTGATAGATAACGGATTCGGAGTTTTGTAACGAGCTGGTCACCTAATAGTACACCCTATACCTTCGCATATACTTAGAGAATCGGCGCAGCAGCCAAGGAGCCTACGAGGAACGACAGTCGACTTGGATTGGGTCAGGGTTCTTGCTGTAGCATATCACATGATGAGCCTCAGTCCCTGCACTAGCAGCACTTTAAGCAACCTCGATCCCTTTGTCCTCAAGAAGATGAAGCTCTCTTGATGGCTCTAGAATATTCAACACAGCGCAGAAACGGATTGCCTTTCTCAACTGTTGATCACTTGATGCACTCCAACTCTCCTCCGCATCAAGTAGCCTCGCAATCATGACATCCACTCAGGGTTGGTCTTCAGCAGCATGGATGATTTCACACTTTCCCTAATCCTCCACGGGCGACGACTTCAATGCCGGGGGCCTTGAAGATGCGGGGTTGCGGGGGCCAATACTAGTACGAGTATGTATTTATCCCTAGCTCCTTGATGCAGTTGTCTTAGTTAAGTGCTAACCACATGTTGTGTGTAGTAACCAGGAGTTTCTCCGTGCAGGATTTTTGCCAATGCTCAACATCAATGCTACGGTGGAGATCTTACCCAATAAGGCATCATTTTTGAATTTGAGTCTGAAACACTGGTTGAGACCTCAAATCATGTCGTTTTTCAGAAATTAAAGGCCCGGGGCCCACAACACTGGTGATTGATCGTGGTGTTTGTTTTCTGATGCTGTTATTGGAGGAATTATCTTCATGCAGGCGCAGCACACAGGCTGTCCAGTGACACCAGTCTATAAATCCTTGGATTCCTTTCGCGGCCATGTTCGTCACAATCTAGCTTCGAGACATCAATTCCCTTTTCCGAAGGAGCTTGGCCGTATCGATTTGACCTTGACAATAGATCCGGACCGCCGGTCCGCCGGTTGAGTTGGCTACTTCTGTCACTCCACTTTGTCCACGATGTCGAACGGTCATGGTCATGCGAAAGGTATAGTCTCTACTGAGCCCCTTGCAAACAAGGATGTCCGTACTACCCTGTCTGCATTAAGGGACCTGCTGCAGGTAAACAATGCCGAGCCGGGATTGCATCTTCCGTCACGTTGCTTCAGAAGTCAGTCCGGCGTCAAATGTAGATTATTTGCAGTATCGTTTCTTGCAATGTGCCATCTGAAATATTCCCTTCCGGAGTCTTCGGCTGATATCCGGCTGAAACCGATCTGTCAGCTCCACATGTCGTTGTCGCTCGGCTGAAATACATAAATGTGGCTCGCTCCTGGTCGCCTTCTCAGTCCTGGCCTCGACAGAGACCTAGGAAATAGGAGTTTTGTCAGTTTACGCAGAACCAAGTCATGAAGGGGTTGCGCGTTGCTGCCCTTGTGGCACTTTTCAGAAGTGCATGGGCCCAAGCAGGCAACTGTCCGGGCACCTTTACTTCCATATCTGCTGCTGATTTCGTTTCTCGTGTCCATCCCGGGTGGAATTTGGGCAATACTCTTGACGCTGTTCCTAACGAGGGCTCCTGGAACAACGCTCCAGTTCAAGCATCCACGTTTGATACCGTCAAGTCGGCTGGATTCAAGAGTGTACGACTTCCAGGTAAGTTCCATTCGGTGCTGCCTGCATCTACTACTGCGAACCTGCTGCTGATAACATTTAGTTACATGGGCACACCACTTCACTGGAGACTCGCCGGACTGGACTGTGGATCCAGCATGGCTGCAGAGAGTCTCTGACGTTCTGGATATGATCACATCCCGCGGCCTGTACGCAATCGTCAACGTTCACCACGGTGAGATATGTTTCTGCGAGATCGTACCAGTTCTCAAGGACTGATTGAGAGATAGACTCGTGGATCTGGGCCGATGTCAGTCAGTCCGGAGCCAACATTACAATGATTGAGGAGAAATTCTATCGACTCTGGTATCAGATTGGCACCAAGTTGGGTTGCAAGTCGAACATGGTTGCCTTCGAGTCGATTAATGAGCCACCCGTCAACAATGCTCAGGATGCTGCTGAGATCAACAAACTGAATGTGATCTTCCTTCAGGCTATCAATAAAGCTGGAGGATTCAACTCCAAGCGAGTTGTCAATCTGGTTGGTGGTGGCCAGGATAGCATCAAGACCTCGCAGTGGTTCAAGGCTCCTACCGGCTTCTCTAACCCTTATGCCATTCAGTTTCACTACTATAGTCCTTGTAAGCGATCCCTGCCCCAACCCTACTTGACCAAAATACTAATTGATACCAGATGACTTCATTTTCGGCGCATGGTGAGAAATCTTGTTCAATCCGTCTGCGATATTCACAGCTGACATCTTTTCAGGGGCAAGACCATCTGGGGTTCGGACTCTGACAAGACTGCCCTTACCAATGATTTCAAGTTGCTTCGGAACAACTTCACCAATGTGCCCATCATCCTCGGAGAGTACGACGCATCTCCGACGAACACCGAGCCAGCCGCACGCTGGAAGTACAACGACCTTCTAGCTCACACTGCCGCCCAGTACAACTTTGCCACTATTCTCTGGGACAACGGCCTCGACCACCTTGACCGGACAACCGGCAAATGGCGCGACCCTACCTCCCTCCAAATCATCACCAAAACAAAGCCCTCCACCAAGAACAGCTTGCCCGACAGCACCACAGACGCGTCCGCGCCAAGCCAGTCGTCTTCAGCCTATATCTTCCACCAGGTCGGAACGCCAGTCACGAGCCAGACCCTCCCATTCATCTTCAATGGCAATACCCTCCAGTCCATCAAGGACTCCAGCGGTACCACCCTGAAGCAAGGAACAGACTATTCCGTCTCCGGCTCCAACATCGTGTTCACGGCGTCGTACCTCTCCAAGCGCATCTCCGCGTCTACAAAGCCTGGCATCATCACCGACCTCACCCTCACGTTCTCCTCCGGCGCCTCCCCCGTCGTCCAGCTCGTGCAATGGCAGACGCCAACACTGGGCTCTACGTCCGTCGCCGCATCGTCCGTCTCCGGTGACCTCTCCATCCCCATTACATGGGGCGGCGTCCCTAAGGTCGCGGCCGTCAAAGCTCTTACTACCAGTGGCAAATACCTCGTTGACGACTGGACACAGGTGCTAGGCCCGTTGCAACAGGCGAGAACGGTGCGTACTTTTTGTTTTCATGCAAGTTTGTAGCTAACCGCTGACTCTCTTCTGCGTCTAGACCTACAGCAACCAGTGGAAGTTCGAGGGCTCGAATGTCATTTTAACGTCTGGGGCTATTGATGCTGTGAAATCTGCGGGTCAGACTACGGTGTTTACGTTTGAGTTCTATCCTCGTGTTGCTGGTGGTGCGAATACAGTCAACTTCACCGTGACTGTCTAGATAGAGTCGGTATGGATTCTGTGTCATTCGTCCAATGGCCTTTATGCGTGTATATATATCGCACAACAAATGTGCTTCTACTTCTGCCAACCTTCATTCAACAGTAGACAAGACAAAGGGAAATTCTGGACTCTCATTATTCATTAATCATTAAGCTAGTACCACCATTAACATAAGAACGGTAGCCCAGCAAACAGGCTCATCATCATCGCCAGGCAAAAATCAATACAGAACCTTCAGCTCCCAAAGCGGAAGGCTCGGATCATACTTATCCCAGACAAACTTATTCTTCTCATCCAGATGCGCCCCCTCATCTGTAATCGGAATGGAGGGATGCGTCTCAATAACCTCCTGGTGACTGAACCCCCATTTATCCCTGGGGATCCACAGCGTCGGCGTGCGCGCCCAAATACACGGCTCAAAGTACGCATTCCGCTCCTCCTCCTCGGAGTATCTGATCTCGACATGGTCCCGGCGCACTTTGCGCCGCAGCGCCGCATAATCTCTGTACAGGTTCGGGTGGAACCATTTCCAGGCTGCCTCCCAGCGGTTGCGGGGATGGTGCAGGAGGGCCTGCGTCTCGTCTTCTTTCGACTGCTGCTCTTCTTCTTCTGTGTCGAGGGTGCGGGGGAGGAAGGTGTAGAGTGGGGCTAGGGCCTCGTTGAGGGACATGTGTGCTAGTACGGTGAGGACGGTGAAGAGGGCCATAATGATCAGGGGCCCGATGGCGGCGCGTATGGCGAAGAGACCGATCATGCAGATGTTGGCGAGGTAGATGCCTGTTAGGAGATGCTGGAGGGCGCGCGGGTAGACGAGCCCCTTTGTGTCTATTTCAATGTCGTAGACGAAGAGGAAGTTGTAGCGGTAGGCTTGGTAGACGAGGTAGAGGCCTACGAAGGCGAAGCCGAGGATGAGGGGGGCGATGCAGGAGTATGTTAGGGCTGGAGGAGGGTGTGGTTAGTGGTGGGGTTGAGGGGTTGAATGCGCGGCAAAAGAATCAGAAACGTACCGATGACACCCATGTTGGTGAATACGGGGAACACGTTTCCCCAGCCGATTCCGCTGAGGGATGCCCAGCGTTGGTAAAGGAGGCGTGGGGAGCGGTCGAAAAAGGTACTTATGAATTTGAATACAATAACGCCGGCGACCTGCACCACTGCCATCGAGCTCATTGTTAAGCCCTGGAGCAAGAAGTATGATATGTAGAAGTTTGTGGCTTTTGGTAGGTTCTGGGCGAGAAGATCTTTTGTCGACAGAGGGTCCTTGATGATTTGGGCTGTTGCGGCGGATGCTGCCGATGTCAGGGTTGTCACAAGGAAGACTTGGACGACCTGGAAGCAAAAGTGCGCGCTCTGTGTGAAGAGCTCTACATGGGCTGTCGATGGGGCACCTGCTCGTCTGGCGAGGACTGAATAGACAGTTATCAGCAATGTTCTTTTCCTGTTGGACTTTAGTCTTGGGGACATACAGCGACAGATGATCGGAACCAATGACATGAGAAGGACTAGAGCTGCGGACGGTAGCAGTCCCGCAATCACTCCTTTCAGTGATGAAGGTAGCTTGTCAATGAAGCCCAGGAAAGGTAAAAGGCTGGTCAGGTAGGTGATGTTCGAGATCGCCCCAACAGCAGCGGAGGGGATGGACCAGAAGATAACCAAGGCAGCAATTCCACCCTGGACCGCGAACTTGCGCACAATGCGCTGCCACCAGCTGAGGTTCAAAGTAGACCAGACAACCTCTTTAGGAGAGATACCAATGAAACGAGGCGTCATATGGAGCGGTTGGTGATGAGAGAGCGTCTGTAGAGCGATCTGCGCATCGGACTGGGTGTTGAACTCGATGAACAGAGCAGAAAGATTCTTCATCTTCCCATTTTTGTGCTGTTCCTGAAGGTATTCTACCTCCTTTGATACCTTCACAAGCTCGTCGCGTAACCAACAGATGGAGTCAACTTTGGGTCCAAACAACTTCACACGGTGACTCGGTCTGCGAATTCTCTTACGCCAGCTATGTGTCCCACTTTCGCAGTCCAGACACGTGTCCGAAGTGATCACTCCATTTTTGAATGCCTTGAGACGGGCCGAGTTTGCTGCTCGAATCAAGTTGGTCTCCGCTTTCTCCAACCGATAAGCTAAACTGTCCCGTTTGCGGACTTTCTTCATGAGCTCCTTGCAGTCGGATGTGATCCAGACCCTTCGAATAGAATCCCCAAAGACTTGCTGCAACTTCTGCTCGTTCTTGTAGTCTTCTGGCACGGACATGAATAGCACTGTTCGTGATGATATACGACGAACATAGGCAGGGGAATTGAGATACGCCTGCCGCAAATTCGCATAAAAGAGACTCTCTCGAGTGACCACGTAGAAGACATAGGCTGCAGTGTCACAAATTAGTGATTTTGCTTGGAAGAGCCCCCAGAGCACATACTGAATAAGATGCATGCCATGATAGCATGTGCATAGTACCGGGCCGGGTCTTTTACGTTGCTAAAGCTGAGTGCGTCTAGCTGAGTGTTTCCTGCACCACCGGTGACGTGAATCGGGATCAGGATAGGCCATGTGACGAGGCAACCAGTAAAACAAGTAGAACAGAGCACCCTGAGGAACCGCAGAAAGAGGTATCCGTCCATGGAGGAGGAATGTAGAACATGCGCATCAGATATCTTGAGAAACTGCCCAAACCAGTTGATGAAGCCTCTGGGCAATTGGGGGCTTCGTTCACTGCAAATGCCTCAGTAAGCGGCGCAAACAGCGATGCTGTAGGAGCAATACATACTGTTGGTGCCAGCACGGCAGGTGAGATCTTGGGGCATACCAACGCAGTTGCGTTCGTCGACATATCAAGAACAGACCGAACCAAAAAAAGGCGATAACCAACGCGGGTAGAAGTGTGGTCAGAAGTGCTGAAAGTGAGGTTGAATCATTGACACCGAGGTTCTTGATTGCATCAGAGGTCTTCGAGGACGCATTGCCTCGAGCAGAACCGATGTTAGGGTCATTGTTCGGATCCTACATTCTGAGGGTCAACACAGTGAGTGCGTTAGGAGGCTCCATCTCGGTATACATACGAGGAGATCTTGTCGTTTTACCAGGGGACCAACCCATTCTGGGACGGCCATGGTAGGCATCATAATGGTCCCTCGTGGCCCTGCAATATGACCGTTATACAAACCAACGTCCGGGTGCCTCAACGGTTATACGGAGACGGTCTAGAATCAGAATCTAAAAGCACAAGGATGCAATTCCCTACATATATCTCGTGTGCAACCCGCCGCTAGGACAAGCGGACTGTACGGCGCGTTGGACCTGTCATTCCTGTCATTCTGCATATATGGTACAGGCTTACCAGTTGCCAATAGTGTTCCGAAGTAAACCTTCGTGTGACAGGAATGCCAATGGTGGGCCATGCAAAGCCCAGACGGTCGGGGATGCATTATTTGGAATGTCTACTCCATAGCTCCAGAGCTTCTCGCAGTTTCGAAAGTACTGATGATCCGTCGATCAATGCTCAGAAAGTCCGAGGACAAATATTGTTAGCTCGCTACAGTACAATGACCATTCGCGATGCTGTTATTTCTTCATGTCGATCCAATATGCGTATTCGCTCACAAGGCAGTTCGTGTTCCCGTCGAGTGTTGATCGGTGGAGAGGACGCATGGACGCCCTCCGATTAGTAGGTAGTAGCTTAGTAGGAGCAGGCATTAGTGATCCCTGAATTGGTGGCTTCGCATCCAATTGGACAATGAAGTCGCAGATCAATCAGCCAATTCTCCAGACATCGGAGAATGTTCGCGATCCCTTGAATTTTGTTTGAAGAAATAGCTGATTTTCTGAAGGATTTCGCTCCTGGCTTTTGAGCTATATTACTCCGTAGTACTTTTGTATATTACCTGACAGGATCTCAATAGTTCCGATGTTGATCAAATGGAGATCTCTGACCAAGCACTCAGACAATCCTCGCAGGGAAGGTGAGTTCGAGATTCTTATCCCGCGTCACGAACTAGGGCGTGATCAATGGCGGGGCCCAAGGTTAAATCTGCAAGACTATTGATTGACGGTCACATTCGTAAATGATTCTCGACTAGACGGGATTTCGAGGTGATAAGGCTTTCCAGCTGCATACCGCAAGGTGAGCAAGCATGGGATAGATAATGCATCCTCACTCAAATTGTTGGAGCCTGAAAAAGCAGTACCTACTCTCGATCTCCCACAGTAGAAACATTCCCTGATACGGTACAAATTAGTCGAAAGTCGCTGATATCGACAAATCAATCAAGCAAGGGGTGAGTGCTTGTGCAAGTACGACGCTCAAATCTCGAACGGATGACCTGTTCTCATTCCAATCCATACTCGACCTCTCGGAGCCGAAGATTGATTTCCTCTCTTGTCCTAAAGCGAAAGAAGAGTGGACCTCAAAAGTGATGTAAGGAAACCTGGTACACGATCCGCACCTCTTCCTGCGACTTAAGATGCATAGTGCGTCTAAGAAGTTTTCCGTTGTCTGGCGACGATGTAGTTGATGTATCAACTATCTTTAGTTATCCTGAGTGATGACAGACCAGAACAAAGCCAACACATTCATTGTTCCCGCGAGCGAATGATTGGCTATATGGCAAAAGGTGAGGTGGCTTTCGGATCGCCTTGTGTGGAAGCGGAAACTGTAGATCTAATCTGAGCGTCAACCACGAACCCAGGAAACCTATTATGGACACGGGGAAAGTGGATCCCAAGATAGAAGGAGTCTCCTAAATTTCTCTTTGGCGTATGTCGTTGGGATTTTTGCCCAAATGTGGATGGGACAAACCATGACGAAGCTGAAGAGAGGGACAGGCTGAGCCAAAGACTCGGAAGCTATCCAGATACCTCTGGCATCTTCATGGAAACTTTGGGGAGCCAACGTAGTAGTCGAGATATAGATATAGTCTGGTTGATCGCATGATGTATGTTCAGAAAGCCAGACACGGTGAGCATTGAAGAGTGGTATGTCCCTATCACAGTGTTATCGCAAGTGTACTCTGTGTCTATGCGAATATATGTAGTTCCGCGGGTAGCGAGGGATATCCTCTCAAGGTCTGCTGGCATCCTTAAGTCGCTCACTGGAGGATATGTCTTTTGCAAGTTCGAAACCCATCTTATGAGCGAGATATGTAGTCTCAAACATAGTGTTTGAACGACTTGAATTATTATTTCTCTACGCAGAACGCAGTACAAGATGAACGTATCACCCACAGTATGGAGATTGAGCGGTAAGAGGCGGCAGTATAGTGATAAGTTGGGAGTGTCAATCTACTTCAATATTACCACAGCTTAGTTCGCGCAAGACAAATCGATGATTAAGCATGTCACCTCCCGAGATTGGCGACGAAAAGCAGTCCCGGTCCATTGATGACGGTCGTGGTTCCGCACGCATCGTATCATCAAGAGAGTCAAAGCAACCATTCCCGCCTCTCCCTGCGGATGGATTTGCTACAACAATGCACGATGTGCCGAACAACAGCTACCCAGGGCTGGACGACTCAGACATGCTTTCGCCTACAACCGATGATCTTGCAGAGGAGGAGGAGGAGGATCCGGACTTCCACTCCAGCTATTTTCTAGACAATCAGTCATTCTCCGACGAGTCAATGGAATCCGATGAAGAAGCTGCCGAAGATAGCATCGCCATGCATCACCCGTTTCGCCAGTCTTCGAGTTCCCTGCACGGGCCTAATGCTTTCGCTCCTCCGTTCTATAACAGACCTCCGACCCCGCTACCGCCGTCCCCATCGTTGACGTCGCTTCTTCGTCCCCCTTTCTCGACTACTACTTCCCGACCGACTACCCCTGATAGCTCCGACGTGGAAACACCGAATGATACTGAGGCGGCTGTCGCGAAATCTGCACGTCGTGCAACCACAGTCCCTCGTGCCAGCCCGAAAGTACCGACATATGAGTATTACGGCTTTGTCTTATACCTGGCTTCATCGCTGGCCTTCTGTGAGTCGAACCCGATGCGCTGCAGGGAGAGATCACCATTCTAATACTTTCATCAACAGTAATCTATATACTCTGGTCCTACCTACCATCCCCATTCCTGCATCAGCTCGGCATCTACTACTACCCTAATCGGTGGTGGTCGCTCGCTATTCCTGCATGGCTGGTCATGCTGATCATCTACATCTACGTCGCTCTGGCGTCTTATAACACGGGTTACCTGACGCTACCGATGAATAGTATCGAGAATATCGTTGACGAAGTCGCCAATGTAGCTGTCATTGACGGCAAAGGCCGACGACGACCGGGCGGTGCTGCCAAGATGAAACCTGGCGCAACATCGTATCAGATCATGGGACCACAGAATCGCAAGGTCAACTGGAAAGATATCTGGTCCGAGGGCACTGATGCCGTCATGGACGTACCTGTGGGAGGAGTCTGCGAGGTATTGTATGGACAGGAAAGAGACGATGGTGAATTGAGTGACGGTCACGCTGGGTTCGCAACTGGCACAGGAGAGACGTAGCCGGGCCTCGTTTGTGTTTGCAGGCTATACCTTATCAACCCGGTGCTCGTTGCTTATCTGCCAAGATGAACCAAGATAGCTGCGGCTGTGATCTCCTCAGCCAATCACAAGGCGACAGCCGCAAAATCGCATCACTTATCATCACGTGATGTGGCGCTAAGCTTCCTTCCGACTCGTATCGGCAATCGAGTCAACTCTTGACGATCGACAACCTGGTGGAAATCCGTGGTTGCGTTACTTCCTTTCGATATAAGTCACTAATAAACCGTCATGGAAGCCGAAAGACGTTCGACGCCGCCCCCAAAATCGGGCGCTGACAAGCCCGGGGAGCTCCAAAGGGGTCCGCTCACTCCCGAACAGTTGCGGAGAATTGTAGGTGAATCGCTAAAGAGGCATGCTCTGCATTTTTAAGCTAACGATCCGTTTACAGGAGATCAATCGTATGAAAGCCAAGGCGATCCGCGAACAACGAGAGGCCGAGGAAGCCAAGAAGCGAGCTGCAACACCCAGCAGTTTAAGTAGCGTCAGCGGGGTAAAACGAACATATTCTTCCATGACAGCGTCAGAGACACCAGCAACATTACGAGATGCGTCGGCGAACCGTCCGCTTGATGCGATCAAGCCGGCCCGCAATTTCGCCAAGTATGTCGAGTATGACTTTAGCAAGATGACCGACACGAAAGGAGGTTTCTTAACTCAAGAGGATGATCCATACAACAAGGCGTTGAATGTCCGAGATGGGAAGGAGGAGCAGAAACCTGCGCATATGACGCAGAAAGAATGGGAACGACAGCAGCTGCTCGACTCCCTTCGCCGCGAGCGAGCAGGGCCGTTTGAACCCGGACTGAGTGTACTAGAGGATAAAAGCAAGCAGAAAAAGTGCCGGGAATGTGGAAGTCTTGAGATTGACTGGAAGTGGGAGGAGCTACTCCGATGTTGTATATGCCACGCTTGCAAGGAGAAGTACCCGGAGAAGTACAGTCTCCTGACGAAGACGGAAGCAAAGGAAGATTATCTGTTAACCGATCGTGAGTCTATACCAAACACGTTTCTATAAAGACGAATCACTGACGCCCCGCTTCTCGCAGCCGAACTCCGTGACGAAGAGCTTTTACCACACCTGGAGCGACCGAACCCTCATAAGTCGACGTGGAATAACATGATGCTCTATCTACGATACCAAGTTGAGGAATACGCATTCTCTCCAAAGAAATGGGGTTCTCCAGAAGCGTTGGATGCTGAATTTGAACGACGAGAGAACGAGAAGAAGAGGCGGCGGGAGGCGAAATTCAAGTCCAAGTTGCAAGATCTCAAGAAGCGCACCAGGGTCGAAGCATACCGACGGAATCGTCAAGGTGCAGCGGGAGGGAATTTTGGCGATGATTTGGGGAAAGGTGGTCGACATGTACATCAATGGGGCCGATCTGTGGAGGATCCTGAGACGGGTATAGGGGTCAAGAAATGTGTTGACTGTGGCATGGAGATCGAGGAACTTGAATTCTAATGCTCCATCATATAGCTTCCATAACGATATTAATGATTTAAAACGAAGTCAAAATGACAGATGGAGCCTTTTGCAAGGTCCGCGGTCCTTCTCACCGTAATGACAGTTTTCCGAGTTCAACAACCACAATGTAGTCGATCCGCTGGCATGTTTGTCGCAACATCTCTAACTGCATAGCCAAAAGAACACCGCAGCGAATAATGGACCACCATGACAGGCAAGTCCATTGAATGTCAGTCTATATACTCAATGCTAGACGAGGTTGGGAGCCAAACAACCCCAGCGCTAAAGGCGGTTAGACGGCCGAGTTGTGCGTCTACGGGAGCCAACAAAAGTCCAGCAGCGGCGGTGCGGTGACTTTCCCCGACCTCAGCGAGGAGAACCTAACGCGCGCCAGCTGCCAGTCCAGCTTCGACACCATACAGCGACCATCCTCCTTTTCCCCTTTCGGTGATCCATACCCTTCCGTTGACGGAGTCATAATAATTATTGCTCTCCACCCGGTGCTGACACGGCCTGGAACGTGGTTTCCTGCCGTTGTCACCCGTTGAGACTGGGGGTTGCTTACATCAACAAACTTGCAGCATTGCGGCCACGAAAGCTCTCCACATTCGGCGTCCTTTCTTGTCACAACTGGGGACGCAGAAGCTTAAACAGCTCTGCGATTGTCCTGAATCTACTTAAATTCTGACGCTTGTTGATTTCGCATGGCTTGGCAGTCTCCCTCGGCCATGGCTGGGGGTGGAGGCTACATCGGGCCTGGGGGTGATGGGTCCTCGAATGGCGGACAACCTCATGGGACGGAGTATACACTGCAAGGTGGGTGCAGGGAGACTCTGGCCTTGGTATCGGTCTTTATCGAAGCTAACTATTTCTTCCTCTCCGATAGGCGTGATGCGCTTTCTGCAGACGGAATGGCATCGGCACGAGCGAGATCGCAATGCCTGGGAGATAGAGCGCGCGGAGATGCGGTCCCGGATCGGTAGGTTAGAAGGTGATGTACGAACGAGCAAACGGCTGCACGAGTCATTGGGCAAGCATGTGAGGCTGCTCGAGGCTGCTCTGAAGAAAGAGCGTGAGAAGGTGAAGAAGCTGAGCAATAATGAACCGATCGAGGATACGAGGGACTCCAAAGAGATTGCCCGGGAGAGCATCAACGCATTGAAGTGTACGATACCAACACGTAGAATCCCCAGTGTTGGTGATTGCTGACTTGTCTGCAGCGCAACGGTCCAAATCCCAGGCCGATCTCACCACCGATATCGACACCGACCACCAACCTGGCGTCCGACAGGAGAACGAACGGGAGAAGTCGCGTCTGTACCTGTCAAAGTGCTCGCAAGAGGTTGCATTTCACGTTATCCCTACGTCGCATCCTGCTCCCGATGTAAACGACCTGGAACTCTCGAACCATATGTACGCGAACCACAACATGCCTCAGCAGAGTCTAGAGGAAGCCTACATTCAGCAGCAGCGCCAAAAGCAGCAGCAGCAGCAACAGCAGGCAAATCACATGATGGCACGCGAGGTAGCACTACAAAATCACCAGCCTATTGTGACTCATTATTCGGACAATCCCAACATGTCTCGCGCTCCCAATCAATTCCTTCCCCCCGTGGCGCGAGATATCATGGACAAAAGACCGCTGGAGGCACAGCAGACCCCCGCTACCGCTATTGACAACAGAAAGCAGGCGTTTGAGTCAGGCTTATCGGATGAGCGCGCTGGTGCTGCGAAGCAACAGTACGATAACACGCAGGCAGCGGCTAAGGAGGAGGGTCAATCCCAGCAGGCGGAAGATCAAATACAGGATACAGACGGGTGGAACTTTGATGAAACCCCGGCTCAGGAGTCTCGGACTGCCCACATCCCACCTCACCGACCAGACGTGGATGCCTTTCCCAACGCGAACTTCACCGGGTCAAAGTCCCCCTCACGAGGTGGATCAGTATCGCATCGAAGGAAGAGCTCTGGCTCCAAACGTAAGAGCGAAGGTGCCACAGACGTCGGAGCGGGAGCAATGCAGAAACAGGATCCTATTTTCAAAGTTCGATTCGCTCTTCGCGGCCACCTGGACGTCATCCGCTCAGTAATCTTCACGGGCGGTGGTAGCCCGTCCGAACCCGAGATTTGCACGTGCAGTGATGATGGGACCATCAAAAGATGGATCATACCAGCATCGTACGGGGCTTATGGGTCACACGGAGGGAACTCAGGCAACGATCTGGATATAACGAGTTACTTCACCCATCGGGGTCATGTTGGAGCAGTAACTGCACTGGCTGCGTGCTCCCCGTCCCAAAATTTCTCAAATGGTGGCCGTGCCCTGGGTGACGGATGGGTATTCTCTGGTGGACAGGATGCCAGCGTGCGTGTTTGGGAACGCGGACGGGTTGATCCCAAGGCCACACTTGATGGTCACACCGATGCTGTTTGGGGCCTTTGCGTTCTTCCTGGCACGGCTGGTACTGTGTTTGGGGATTCGTCCAGTCACTATGGAGGTCCAGATCGGATCTTGCTGGCGTCGGGCGCTGCCGATGGGCGGATATTGATCTGGGCCGTCAGTGCACCTCCCCAGCTATCATCGCCACAAGCCGGTTCTAGGCGAGCTGGTGGAAGTCGGCGGGCTAACTCGATATCATCTGGGTCTAATTTCCCATCTTCACCTCAACCTAGCACCGCAACCACCACGCCTTTCCACTACACTCTCGTCCATCATATACTTCGGGCCGACTCTCCCTCACCAACTTGTATCAGCCCTCTGTCTCTTGCAGGTGTCAATTTCGTCGTTTCATACACGGATGCTTCGATCCTTGTATATGACACGAGAACCGGTGAGGAGATTGTGGGCATGGCGAGCTTGGAAACCTACGATGGCACTCCCTCGACGGGAGTGAACTCTGTCGTTGCCACCACTATTGGCTTTGATGGGTCTGCAGGCCTCGATCCTAGCCGGACGTTAGCTGATGAAGAAGTTGTGCACGGAGCTACCGGCTCCAGTGCTGTGGAAGGAGTAATCATAAGTGGATACGAAGACAGATATATCCGTCTCTTCGACGCCAATAGCGGTACGTACGCTGATATTCACGACTGTTCGAATGGAAGCACTGACATTTTCTTGCCCTGTTGTAGGCCAATGCACATACACGATGCTGGCCCACCCCGCGGCTATTGCTGCACTTTCCTTATCTCCTGATGGACGTGAATTAGTGTCCGCGGGGCATGACGCCAGCTTACGGTTCTGGAACCTTGAGAAACGTAGCTGCACCCAAGAGATTACAAGCCACCGATTGATGCGTGGTGAAGGGGTGTGTGCCGTCACCTGGAGCCGCGATGGCCGCTGGGTCGTCAGTGGTGGAGGAGATGGTGTTGTCAAGGTCTTCTCAAGATAACGACGGATTCTGCTTGTCTATGCATGAAGTCTGATGTTGTCCGCCGACATTTCGTTAGGCTAACTCTTCCTGAATGAGCGCTTGGTCAGTTCTTGAGCATTTGCAATGGTGTCAAATTACCTGGCATTTGTTCCTTTCTAGTATTGTGGTTATAGCTCCCTTGGCATTTTCGTTCTTCCGCCATCTCACTTGCATGCACGAGATTTTCTTTCGAAATGACCATTTGGCTCCGCCTCCAGGTTGCGGCTGTTCGCCTTTTCTCACTTTCCCCATGGAGGCTTTTGACGATCTGTTATTGATGGTGTTAAGTTACCACGTCATTCAAGCCCGACAGCTTGCAGCTGGGCTTCGATTCCTGCTCGCCTCCACTTTCTCCCACATGATGTGTGGCCGCTTGGCCTCGAGATACCGTGTGAGATGGGTTCTGGGAATAATCCTATCCTGTATCCATTTCGCAATTTCAAATTCTCCCGTCTCCCTGAAAGGCATGCTCAAGTATGCCTTTCTTTTGACTTCTATGCGTATATGTTTATGTATAACAATTAGTTCCTATACCACTGCCCCAGCTTCTGTACCTTGAACTTGGTATCAACTTCTAGCACATTGAATAGACTTGATTTCTGTATTGACCTTGTGCTCCATGCAGCGGGTGGACTACAAGGCAACGTTCATAGTATATATTTAACGAGATCAGTGTCCCGCATCTAATCTCAATCCGGAGCCAGTCCACTCCGGGGAAGTACAGAACAGATCAGTGGAAGGTATCATTCAAACGGCTATCTACAATAACAAAGAAATTCCTAGAGACTCGACCTCCAAGCTTCCTTGAAAAGCACCCTCAGCTTATTCGCCTCATCATAGTCCTTCAATCTTTGCTCCAAGAAACCCTGCAAATCATCCCAGAAAGCCTCCGTCGCCACAACACTCTCCCCACTAGGTCCAACAGCGGGCTTAGGAGGCTCATAACTTTCCTTCTGCTCGGCACCTGCCCCTTCACCCGCCCCCGCACTCGGAGCAACCTGCGCCCCGCCCATAATCATAACACCGAACTCGACCTCCTTCCCGCCAGACAGCATCCCGGGTTCATCAGCAAGTACCTCCGCGATGGTCTTCCCCGTTACGGGTTTGCGCTTGTACAGGATCTTGATCTTGTCGAGGGAGACCTTGTTGCCCTGGGAGTCTGTCACGCGCTCGCGCACGGCGTCCTTGAGATCCTGCACGGAGGTTGTGGCGAGGGCGGTGTTGGGGAGAGAGAATTCGAGGGCCGGGTTGCGGGCGGATTTGAGGTGCACGGTTATGGATTTTGAGGAGCCCGGGGCGAGCGGTTGTTTGGTCTTCTTGGGCATTTCGGGGTGGGGTGCGTGCAGACGGGGGAGGGTATACTGTGTCGGTTAGTACATGGTCCTAGTATATGGTTGAGATATATGAAATGCGAGGAAGACGTACTGGGACACGTAGTCCGACTTGCTCTGGGTCGAAGACATGGTCGGAGCGGAGCTTGATGGGTCGAGAGTCGAGTGCTGAGAGGAAAGTCTTGACGAATGATACTTCGTTCATGGTGATGGTGATAGTGCTGGTGGTCCCGAAGTGCTTGGAAATTGAGTAGGTGTTGTCTCCTTGGTGGCGATTAAAGGAGGAACGAGAGGGCTGTCGTCACAGTCGATCGATCAATTGTGCTCATTACCCAATCGGGAGCTCATGAGGCCAGAACCTCACGGTCGGAGATTAATGCCTCAGGCCGCTAAGGAGACTAGACCGCCTTCCGGAAAGGATCTGCCATGGTTGACCGCCTGAAAAAGAAGAAGCAAAAGAAAAAAAAGTTTGGCTTTCCAAGATAGCGACATATTAGCGAAACCACAATTTCTGCCTTGCACCACACAGTTTGTCGCAATGGGAAAGGGTCGCCGTATGAAGAAGCAGGGCCCTCCGGCCCCGCTGGACGAGTCGAAAATTACCCTGTACAAGAAGCGCAAGGCAGGAGATGTCGAATCAAAGGCAGAGTCGGGCAAGAAGCGGAGGAGAGCCGAAGATGAAGAAGAGGTTCTGAAGGCCGTGCCTAAGAAGAAGGTTAATGGTGCGGTTAAAGGAAAGGAAAACAAGACCGTGACTGCCGCTGTCAGCAAGAAGGATGCGAAGACGAAGAGCAAACCTGCGGCGAAGGAGAAGCCTACATTTATGGACTCGGACGACGAAGATATGTCGGATCTCGATGACGATGAGATTGAGATGGACGAGGATGAATTTGATGACTTGGATGGCGTCAGTGACGGATCTATGGATAGTCAGGAGGACCTAGATTCTGATGAGGAAGAGGAAGAGGAGGAAGACTCGGTCATGGATTCAGAGGAAGAGGACCACCCACGGGAGGCCATGTTCTCGGACGACGAGGATCTGTCCGACGCGGAGGAGAAACTCACAGCCGCCAACATCGAGGGACTGTCCCGGAAATTGGATGAGACCAGACAGGCGGAAGAGGAGGAGGCGCAGCGCGAGTTACAGGAGTCTGCTATGCAGACCAACATCGCAGGCGACCGCCCGGATGTCTTTGCTGATGCCGAGGGCAAGCCTGGCCTGGCCCCTGACCTCCAATTGCTCCGCACGAGAATTACAGACACCATTCGAATTCTGGGCGACTTGAAGACGCTCGGACAACCGGGCAAATCCCGCGCCGATTACCTGCAACTGCTCCTGGACGACATCTGCACGTATTACGGCTACACCCCGTTCCTCGCGGAGAAGCTGTTCAACCTTTTCACCCCTATGGAGGCGTTCGCCTTCTTCGAAGCCAACGAAACCCCTCGTCCAGTTGTCATCCGTACAAACACCCTGCGTACCAATCGACGATCTTTGGCGCAAGCCCTCATCAACCGAGGCGTGGTCCTTGAACCCGTGGGTAAGTGGTCCAAGGTCGGTCTGCAAGTCTTCGAGTCCGCGGTGCCTCTTGGTGCCACACCCGAATATCTGGCGGGCCACTACATCCTGCAGGCAGCCTCATCTTTCCTCCCCGTGATGGCGCTGGCTCCACAACCCAACGAGCGGGTCCTCGATATGGCCGCCGCCCCCGGTGGTAAGACGACGTACATCTCGGCCCTGATGCGCAACACCGGCTGCGTCATCGCCAACGATGCCAGCAAGCCCCGTGCCAAGGGTCTGATCGGTAACATCCACCGTCTCGGGTGCAAGAACACCATTGTGACGAACCTGGACGCCCGGACCGCCTTCCCCAAGGCGCTCGGCGGCTTCGACCGCGTCCTCCTCGACGCCCCCTGCACCGGCACAGGCGTTATCTCCAAGGACCCCAGCGTCAAGACCTCCAAGAACGAACGCGACTTCCTCGCCATCCCCCACATGCAACGCAACCTCCTCCTCGCCGCCATCGACTCGGTCGACCACGCCTCGAAAACAGGCGGCTACATCGTCTACTCTACCTGCTCCGTCACCGTCGAAGAAAACGAAGCAGTCGTGCAGTACGTCCTCCGCAAACGCCCCAACGTCAAGCTCGTCGACACCGGCCTCGGCGACTTCGGCTCCCCCGGCTTCACCAGCTACATGGGCAAGAAGTTCGACCCCAAGATGACTCTCACCCGCCGCTACTTCCCGCACCGCGAGAACGTCGACGGCTTCTTCGTCTGCAAACTCAAGAAGACCGGCCCCACCCCGACCCCCAAGCCCTCCGCTGACGGCTCTACCGCCCCCGCCGCCGCAGCCGACAAACCCCCCAAGAAGGCCGATGACGACGAAGTCGTCGACAAGACACCCATCCTGAACGAGGACGGCACGGCCCTCGACATCGAGGGCGGCGCCTTCGGCCCCTTCGACGAAGAGGAGGACCAGGAGCGCATTGCTCGCGCGGAGCGCAACCGCCTGCGCCGGAAGGGTCTGGACCCTAAGGCTGTCCTGAACAAGCCTAAGAAATCTGCGTCTGACAAGAGGGACGCTTCGAAACAGGAGGAGAGCAAGAAGGAGGAGCCTGCGGTTGAGAACGGGGACGAGAAGGCCGCAAAGACATCTGACAAGGTCGACAAGAAGGCTGACAAGAAGGACAAGAAGGCCGACAAGAGCAAGACGAACTCCAACTCCAAGGGCAGCAAGAAGAACAAGAAGGCAGCGAGCAGTAGTCCCGGCAAGAAAGCCGGCAAATAGTCTGATTGCACTGGGATGTAGCATCTTGTCTCTTTTCTTTCTTTCGTTGATCATTCCAAAAGCATCATCTCATGTTTAGGTACGGACGGCGCATCATTGCTGATTGATTGATTGTGGTTTGACGTAGATAGCTGTGGTAGAATATAATGATACCATTTGTGATCTGTTGATGGCAAACTTTGTTACACATAGATTAATTACCTTTTACTTGTTTTCATTGTATAAATGTGATATATTCATGTAGGAAAAACCATATAAGCAGATATCTGAACACAAGTAACTCCCAAGGCCCCAATTCCAAATTCTTTCTCCGTAACACCTGGGGTATGCTGCAGTCTCCAATGGAAAAGAAATATGTATGTGTATCAACTCCATCAACGCGCTCGGCTTAATGCCCAACCCACATCATCACGTTCCAACGTCATAAGGGCAGTCCGCTTACGTCCTATAGATCTTGACCACACTGATGATGTTCTTCCGACAGATAGGACAGATATCGACCTGGCGGGCACAAGTCACACAGGCACAGACATGGCCACAATCATAGAACAGGGCGTCCTGTACCTCACTGTAGCAGATCTGGCACAGATCCATCTCTTCGTCAGCGACTTCCCAGTAGCTGATGCCCTTGCCGTGTCGTTTGCCGTCCTTGTAGCCGCCGACATATTTGTTGCCTGTCTTCTTCTCGACGAAGGTGCCCTGGCCGTGGCACTGGTCTTCGTACCAGTCTCCATCGTAGGTATCCCCGGTGGGGTACTCCATGGCACCGCTGCCGTGGCGCTTGCCGAACACAAAGTCGCCGACGTATGTGGCAGCCGAGTCGGAGATGTGCTTGCCCTTGCCGTGGTAGTAGCCCT